AATGAGGTCCACCCAGTTCGTTGTGGGAAACTAAACTATCAATCTCACATCGCATTAAGCCCTTTGCATGTAGTTCTCAAGAAAAAATCCACCTTTGGATAAGACAACCAGAACATTTTGAGATGCAACCTAGATACAGTGTTCATGAGAAGCCCCTTCGACGAGACGAAAACCGATATGGCAGCATAAATGAGAAGATCAACGAAGCTGCAAGCCGAGGCTCAAATAGGTCTCAACTTGACCTGGCAACTGAACTGTCTAAACCCAGTTACAGGGCCCCAGAAACGAGTTGGTATAATCCTCTCCTGCCTATATTATCGCCGTTGACTACATAAGAAAAAAGTGTACTTCTTTCGGAAACCACAACAACCTCGACCAAAACGGCGAGTCCACACACCTGCCTAGGGCCACTGATACGCGCCATTGACCTCGTCAAAACGCAATGTCCACTCTATCCCAATCAGTCGTGAAGCGAATTCGATACCGAAAACCAAGCGTCACTGTGTACACCCACTCCGAAACAATGCTCCGTCTTGTAAGAAAAAGCAATTATGGTCTCTAGCCTCGGTTGGGGCGACTCGCAGACTTCAAGTTCTGACATCTCGAGGGCAACCCGTTCAAGACTGTCATAGAAGCAGCTGTGCTGCTGCGCCAAACGCGCCACTTTCTCGACGTGCGGGAGCCCTAGACAGCGTCGTCTGGACAGCTTGACAGAGCCAAACAGCTGCGCCAAGCCCAAGTCACCAAATCCACACAAACCTGGCGTCAAAAAAACGAATAAAAACAGTAAGAGGCCGGAAGCCGGATCACAGGGTCATGTCACTGCTTGGCCTTCCAAAAATGCAATGCCTCCCATTGTTCGCGGATGCAGTTCACGTGAGATTAATTAAGAAGGTAAGTTTACACGAGGACCTCAATAGGCCAGACTTCTCGAAAGAGGACAAAAACCCGAGAATAGAGGACAGGACGACTTCCCTGGGGCCAGGAGTCTATGAAGCGAAAAGGTCAATTTCTGTCGCCCGATATGAAATTAAAATATTCGATTTAGTAATGATAATCATAATGATAAAATTAATAATAGTAATAATTATTGTACAGGAGTTTTCCTTTGAGGTATGTAAAAGATCGGAGGAGTAAGAGTGGAGGGCGGGAACGAAAGCACAGGCGAGCCTTACAAGCAAAAGATATAAAGGACGCAGGATGAAACCAAAATGGACGGCCGATAGAAGAAGTACAACAGCACTGTTTTTGTTGTCACGCGTCCCGTGTCACCAATGCATCCTGCTGTCTCACCCAAATAGCATTTTATTACAACTTTGACAAGCATAAGCAAGCTTTCTTTCCATACATCGACTGCAACGATGAAAACCTCGTGAGGCAGAAAGGTTTGGAAAGGCGCCAATGATAACTAAAATGGAAGAGATAGGCCGAGGTGTGAAGGGCTGGCAGAATTGCTGAGACAACCGGCGGATTAAGTGAGAACAGTAACCCATCAAGATCTAAGCCTATATATACAGAGTTCAAGGCTATCTGGTCACTTGACTATATTCGTGCAGTGATAACCAAGCCAACTATTTAGTTTACTCATGGCTATGTTGATGGATAAGCAAGTAAATATATATATATATATATATATATAAACATAAGTAAATATATACATAGCGTGTATGTGTGTGCCGAAGATTAGTCCAGAGGCAATTTCAGTCTTGCCGATGGGTACCGAATCTCGATGGCCTAGAAGGAAGGGCATCGAGGTTGATGTGAAATCACAAGGGCGCTGGTAAGCATTAGTAAGTCCTATTGACAGGGGGGATTGGGCTCGGCAACAAAAAGGGCATGTTCAGGACACGTAAAAAGAAAAAAAATTAGTACAGAAGCAGACCTAAGAAGTAAATGGTGTTGAGAAAACTCTTTATTAATTGAGGCGCATTGAAGTGAGATAATCGTGTGGAGGATGAGTCAAGTTGCGCAAGGAGTAGAGGCAAGATGTGGTTTAAGGGAGCACCGTTCTGCCTTGAAGAAGCCTATGAATGGTGGAAACTATCCTGTGAATTCGCAGGCCTAGATAATAGACGATTACTGTGACATGATCGAGAGCATCATAATGACAATTTTCACAACCACCGTCATTAGCATCGAGATCAACAGCGAAATAAGGGCATCAAGTAGACCAATAATTGGGGTTGCGAAAGGAACGATCATATCTGTAGACAAGTTTGAGTGAAGGAGTTAGAAGACTGATATCATAGCGCTCTAGCATAGAGAAGCAGATACACGTCTACCGGCCTAGTTGCTGCATGAAAAGAAGCCAAGATAGATTTCTGTACATGGTATGGGGTTGGCAAGGAGACATGCTGGGTGGCTCTGGGCTGATCCGAATCTAAGATCGGTAGGTGTAATGAAGGGCAGAGCAAATCAGTTTAGCGGAAGTAAGTGAGCTGTGTACAGCAAGGACTATGTGCATTGAAAGGATAAATTGGAGAGGAAGAGGGTATGAAAAAAGAAAAAGCACAGCGCCAGCAATGAGAAGGATGGGCTCGCTGTAGAGGCCGATGTCAATTTAGAGGCTAAGAGCCTCGGAGACAACCGTTTGGCGGCCTCGGATACTGTCGAGATGTCTACATGAAATGCAATGCAAGCCACATGAAAAGCCATGACAGATAGGAAAAACAACGCTCAGTGATGAAGATAAATGAAAGAAGAGACGATAGGTTGGGAGCCTAATCTTAGGCCATATGAAGTGTTGACATGAGGCGGATAGGTACCAGTCTCAGACTTTGAGGCAAATGAAGCGAAAGCAAGGAATGAAAAAGAAGAAGAGGAGCAAGAAGACATGCATGCATTTACAAATTAACTCGTGGATGGATGAGTGGATAAAAGGAGAGCGGATTGGCGGATGAAGAGGTAGAGCTGGGAAAAAGGTGACAAGAAAAGCCCAGCTTGATAGCTTCTAGGATTCCCAAGAGCTTGTAAAAGATACGGCGCTGAGGTGGAAAATGCAGAAATATAAAGAAAGCGTAGAGCAAACTTTGCTGGCCTGTTGAAGAATTTCACATGTGCGTGTATGTGTGTGTGTGTATGTGTGTGTGTGTGTGTGGTCAGTAGACCTCGGCATAACTTGAGTTGGTCGTTTCTTCTGTGGCTCGTCGAATGCTCGGTTCACGTCGGACAATCTCGGCCCGGATCGGCGTGCTGGACATCGGAGCCAGATCCTCGGCCGAGGGACCCTGACAACCGGGTGAAACTGGCCGGAAGTGGGCGTCTGAGGCCAGTTCAACCATTGTCTCACCAGCCGGGCCGAACAGTTCAACACCATTTGTCTTGCGGTTGCCAATGCCTCCTCTCCAGCGGACTTCGGCGTCCGAGTTTTGTGTCTTCAGCCTGCCGGCCCCCCGCCCCGGCCGGCCCAGTTGACCACGAGCCCCACCGCCAGGAGTCACGGGCACATGCGGCTGTGGATGTGAGTATGCGTGTAGGTGTGCCTGGGTATGTGTGTGTGTGTGTGTGTGTGGATGTTGGTGAGGCAGATTGGCCATGACGACTGTGGCCAGAGCGCCGGGCGGGCAAACAGCAGCTGAGGGGGGTGAGGAGGAGGAGGAGGAGGAGGAGGCTGACGAGGCTGACGAAGCGGAGGAGGCTGACGAGGCGGAAGAGGAGGCGGAAGATGAGGGGCCATTGGAGACACGCGGAGACTTCGTCCGCCGTGAGTTGCCGGGGGGTGGAGGAGCAGATCTGTTGGCATCGTCACACAACCCGGCAGCCCTCGTCTGCCAGACACGGGAGCACCGACCGGCCACGCAAGTCGGCTGTCGACAGTCGTCGGCCGAGGTACCAATCGCCTCCTGACATGAGACACGATCCGAATCGGACGCATTGAAGCCGTCCTGCGGAGGAAGCGCAGCGGTGCCTGTGGACACGGGCGGGTCGCCGTTGGCCGTGTTCGCCTCCAGCCCCGGGCCGGGGTTTGAGTCCGAGTCCGAGTCGCTGGCCTCCTCCGCCTCCGTCTCTGTCTGCGAGGAGTAGGGATTGCAGAGGTCACCGCGCCCCACCCCACTGCCGGGCGCCGCGTTGCCGTCAGCACTGCCCTCTGGCCGCACGGCCGCTCTGTCTCCGGGGCCGGTTGCCAGGTCTGGGCTGAGCCCAGCCGACGAGGCTCTGGGCGCCGGGGGCGGAGGGTACTCGGGCGGCGGAGGGATCATCTCGCCGCGAAAATACATGGCCGTCTGCGTCTGTGCCAGACCCGTCGCGGTCACGGGGCTCGTGCATGTGGCGACGGAAGCGCACGGAGTCGACACCTCCTGCCAGTGGCCCGGCAACGCGCCGACTTGCAGTCTCCGACCGCCCAGCGTGTTGCTCAGCCCATGCAGGCCGGGCCCGAGGGAGTTGAGTCCGGACGCCTCGTTGGCGCTCAGGCCCGAGACGAGATGGGCGTGTTGGTGATGGCCGGACAGAAGGCCCGACAGGCTGGCGGTATGATTGGTCATGTGAAAGGGGGCAAGTGACGAGGCCGAGTAGGCGTGGCCGGTCTCGAAGTCGCCCGCGTCGGTACCGCTCGAGGTGGAGTGTGACGCGTAGGCGAAGTCGAGGCCCGTCTGGCTCATTTCGCCGGAGGCATGGTGACTGATCGGCCCTTGTCTGGCGTACCCGATGGCCTGATGGAAGTAGGCCTGTGAAGCTGGTGGCGCCGGTTGTTGCAGGTGTTGGTTGACAAACAGACGCGGTTGCCCAGTCTCCGCGGGAGACAAGAGAGGCCCGCCGACAGTGTGCACAATTGGCGCCGTCGCGTACGGCGCCACAGATGCCGCGTCCAGGTAACCATTGCTTCCGGTACCAACACCAGCCCCAGCAACAAGCCCGCCAGCGGCGCCGTTGTTGGAGGATGCCGTCGCCGGTAGTCCGGCACACATGCCCGGCAGCATAAAAGTCGAGGTGGCGCAAAGAAAGTCGAGTCCCGGCTGGGCAACCGGTGCCACCATCGGGAGGCCAGTGTTGCTGGGGTGCTGTGGCGCCGACTGGCCAGCACCGTCGGCCCCAGCAACCGAGTGCGGATGACCCGAAGCCATGGGACTGTCAGATGGCCCGGCCAAATTGC